TATACTGAACTTCAAGTGAATGCCTTTATTAGTATGGATAGTTTTATTGAAATGTTGTGTGATAATAGATGAACCATCTAACTATTTGTCATGATATATGTTGATATGTTCGATCATTAAATAACCTTCCACTGTATTGCCAACAAGTTGTCTACATTTTATTATTTTCAGAACACTATACCTAGATTCATCGTAACTGGGGTAACATATATATAATTTAATTATTTGTATTTCATCATGTTCTCAGAACAAACTTTTAAAGAAATTGCTGCTGCCTTGGAAAAATCTGCCCATGACACCATAAGCAAATTACAAGAAGGTCTCAAGGCTGTTAACCAGAATGCTACAAAGTTGGAAAAAAATAAAGATGAAAGATGGAGAGATATAGACAAACATGTGGAAGAAATAATGAAAGAAGTAAAGAACAACGGAGACAGAATGAAAAATGAATTAGAGACCATCTACAACAAAAAAAAGAAAGTAAACAATGAACAAATACATGAGTTGAAAACAACAATATCTGATATAAATAAAAAACTTAATCAGTTGAAGGGTGATGAAGGCACAGCAGTGCAGTCAGGTAAAACAGTTATTGCAACACTAAAGGATAGATTAAGTGAATTGCCACAAACAGAACCAATTGATAATGGACAAATTTACCTCTTCATAAACGAAGAGCAAATTAATTCAATGAAACAATGTGATATTGGAACTGTAACAGAATTGAGGGCAGCAGACTATTTAACATTAAAAGGAGAGGAATCTGTGTCACAGGGTCAGACAATTGTTGTCAAAATAATAAAAACAGAAGAACATGAAATATATGCAAATCAACTGAAGGCAACATGGACACAGCCTACAGGAGAAACCAACATCTCTCAAGTTCAGAAAGACAACAATGGAGATTATTTTGTGACAGGAAAATGTTCAAGTCCAGGACTTTGTAAACTAGAAGTGAGTGCTGATAATGAACCAATTATGCAATCCCCAATGATAATCAAAGTTGAGAAGGAAGAATTAGTAAATACTATTAAAATAAACAAAGTAAATGTTAGAGATGTTGTTAAGTGTGAAGATGATTGCTTACTTGTATCATGCTTGACAAATGAAATGCACAAGTACAAGCAATCAGGAGAAAATATTGGTAGTGTTACGGTACCATTCAGTTTTAAAATTAACAGAATGTACAAAATGAAAAATGGTAACATAGCATTCAGTGATAATAATCTATCCATTAAAATATGCGATATGAATGGTCAGGTCATAAAAACAATTGGTGAGGGAGTATTGGGTTCAGCATATGGTGTTTACGTGGATGAGACATCTAATGTTTTGTATGTAGCAGGAGGTTTGTCAGATAAATGTGTGTACATGCTTGACATGAATAATGGACAGATCATCAAAAAGATAGAGTCACAAGGCATAAAAGAAGGTCAAATGAATAGTGTCATTGATGTTACTCTTACGAACCAAGGACACCTTCTTGTGTTGGATGATGTCAACAGTAGATTACAATTATTTGACAATGAGGGAAGGTTCATGAAAGTCCTTGTTGAAAAAGGTGATGAGAATGGTAAGGTGAGGTATCCATGTGGGGTGGTAGTGGATGAGGATGACAACATCATTATATCAAGTCAAAACAAACTACAGCTATTCAGTAGTTATGGAAATTTCATTAAAAGAATTGATAAACCAGAAGATGGAATCAACTATCCACAGGGATTATCCATCATTTCATATCATCCAAGGAGACTTGCAGTAGGGAATGATGACGGAACAGTAAAAATATTCAGTTATTAAATATAGACAGTCCACTTGCTTCACTTGTGTTTTTCCATAAATTTAAGTGTATGAATATCTACATTATTTCATATCATCCACATTATTAAATTGTTAAAATATTTAATTATTTAATACAATGATATCCATATAGAGTTGGAAGTTATAGTTTTATGAAACTTTAAATATTCAATTATTCATTACAATTATATCCACATAAAGTTTTGGTTATTCAACTGTTAAAGCATTAAATTATTGAATGCAATATACCAGAGCCATAAATATCTAATGGCATTGCAATATACTGTAGTTTGCAGCACTCACTTGTTTAAGTTAATTTTTATCAAATTATTTTGAATCACATATTTTAATTTATGGTTTTATTTTTGTATTGCTTGTGCTTTTTGATGTTATAAAATTGTACTTTGTAATCCAATAGAGATGACTTCTGTATAGCCTTAGAATATTATCGATTTTTTGTACATTTTGTTGTGTTTTCTTTATGGTTTTTCAGCATTAATTAAAACAGACACACAACACAACAAGTGTAATTTACAAATACCTACAAACATTTATATCTATCAAAAGACCTGAAGTGGACAAGGAATACTGACACCTCCGCTGACAAAGCTAATTGTATACTTTTTATTTTGTAGTCATTGAGGAGCTAGTTTCAATTAACAATGCATGTCAAACCATGACACTGTGCACAAAGAACCAATATAAACACTAAAACACAGAACCAAATACTGTACATGACCAAAATCCTGATCTCAGTTAGTAGTGAGACCCTGGAGTCTTCAGTATGAGTAGTTGACAGAGGCGCCTTGCAGACTGACAGAGAGCGGTTTTTTTTTTTTTTTGGATTCAAAAAAAATAAAAAAAATAACATTAAAAAAAAATTGTATATATATTTATTGACTCAATTGATAAATTTATCTTGAATATTTTTATATTTACTCTTGTCTTTGTAAATTTTAATGTCGTCTGTCTTTTTAAATTTTCCGATGTAAATTTTAATATTTAATATTGCACTATTTTAATGATTTGTCAATTTTAAATGTTTGTAATTTTATATTCAGTCTCTCAATTCAGCATATAATATAGACTGTTTTGTGAGGTTTTTTTTGCAATAAATTTACCTCAATATATGACTCATTAGTCATTACTGTAAGGTAAATATTTTATGGTTTATAAAGCAATAATCTAAGTCTCTGGTCCGGGATGTATAGTTAAGAAAGGGGGACAAGCTTGATTGATGCCCTGGTATTTTTCAGCTCCCACTGTAATCTATACCTTGTTGTTGTATCATGTATTTTTTCAAACAAAAAAAAAGAAGAAAAGTAAGTTAAGCTTATTTTTTGTTTGTATTCATACATTAACATCAATGTGCATTATGTTATTTTTTTAAATATATTTTTCATGTATACTTTGAAAATAAATCATCTGAATCTTAATAGTTGTAGTACAGTTCTATGTACTGTAAACAGAGACCTTAATATCAAGGTCACTGAAGATTGAATTCTAGTTCTTATCAACCAACATATATTCAAACAGTAACTGAGGCATGTTGTGGCAAAATGGCTAAGTTGTAGCAAAAATTGAAATTCAAGTTATTGGTATTTTCAAATACCTGAGTATGTGATCTTTAAAATGAAGAGTCATCCATTCAAATTGGACATTTCAAACCTAAGTTATTGGAAAGTGAAAGTACAGTACTCTTAGAGTCAAGATAAACAGGATTTTGAGTAATTGCTTTTTAAAGTTATTTGAGCATACATATAATAGAATGAACTATGAAAAATAATGTTAAATAAACAATTTGTTAACCACTTCCAGAACTAATACTTTGGGACATGATTAATAAGACATTAAACTGTTGATCTATAGTGAAAAACAAATTTGGTTTTTTTTTTACTCAATATTGGACTGTGCGACAACTTAACCATTTCGCCACAACATGCCTCTGTTTATCATACCTTAATAAAACTATGTTTAAAAATGTCTGATGGATCTTGTTGGATTGACTGGCAGACCAATGACACACAGTAAATTGTAAGCTTCACCTTCTCCTCCTTGTTGGTGTTCTGATATCAAACAAAGATAAAGAAAAAAGTTTATGCACTATAATTAAAATTGAGACAAAGGAAGCTTATTTCTTGCTCTAAAAATAAGTTCAATTATTGTTTTATTTTTTATATGAGGCCTAAAATGTTCATTTAGCTTTTGATCTTATAAAATGTTGGTACAACACCTACAACTGACTTGATATTAAAATACATAAATAAAAACTTAATTAAGTGCAATTCAAATAAAAAAATAATACTGAAAAAAATCTAAACATCATGAGCAATATTAGTTTAATCTCCTATTATCTAGTTAATTCCTCACTTCTTGTTCCTTGGCTACTCTGCAACACTATGCTTGTTCTATGATCCTCTTAATTTGAACTATTTGATTATCAAGGTCTGCAATATTCTTCTACCATTCTTTATGTTTGTTTGTAATTGCTTCCAGCTCTTTCTTATTCTCTCCTGCAATGCATGAACTCTGCTGTCATTGTTGGACATGCGGAATTCAAAAACTCTACTATGGATAAAAAAAAAACATAAAAATTTCACATATTGATATTAAAATATGCTTTAAATATTTCCTGCAGTAAATATTTCCTAAAGTAAAATAGTAATACCCTGTAATATTTTCAAGTTTTTAAAAAATTCTTTATAATGTGGTTCTGCCAAATAATCTAATTTAAACTTGTGGGGCAGGCAGAGTCTTAAAGGTTTTAAAAGGGGGGGGGGGGGTTGGTGACTAAGCAGGCTCTTTTTATCTTTCAGACATCATATGTAGATATATTAAGATATAATTTAGTGTAGCTCTTGTTTTGCATTCATTCATAAATGTTAACCTGTATTCAACCAATTTTATTGCACATTTCTTCATGTATACTTTGACAATAATAAATTATCTGATTCTGAATATATGTATGTAGAATATTTGTGATTTATGTGGCTTGCTTTGTAGTACAGTTCTAATGTACTGTTCTCAAGTATACAGTAGTTTGTGGCCATGTAACATAGAAAACTGTACTCAGGCATGAGTACTTTGCCCTCTAATAGACACAGGACATCTACTTCGAGACAGCACAAACATCTCTAAATGGAGACCAAACACTGAGACCACCCTAATTATTATTATGTTTTGTAGGTAGTCTTAAATTTATGGGCAAACAGTACATTGATTAGCTTTTATCAACAAACAAATCAAATACTTCATAATACCATGGAGGTATGATATAGTATACCTCTGTGATCATACCTTACATGCAAATGTCTGATGGCTCTCATTGAATGACAAGCAGACCACATGACAAGCAGTAAATTCTAAGCTCCACCTGCTCATTGTCAGTGTTCTGAAATCAAGGAAAGAGAAAGGAAAGGCTTATAAACTGGCCATCTAGTAATTAAGTGTTGGTGTGTGTCGATTTTGTAGTGTATTGTAGGTGCATAAAAGGGGGTGGGGTGACAATCTCCTTGTGGGTGTGTGTGGATGTTTGTTGCATTAATTTCTCTCAGCAATGTTCGAATACAAAAATTACAAGAGTTGGTAAAAGCACATGGTACCGCGTAGTGTGAGGGTGTGCAAGTGGGGGATTTATTTGTATGAGGGTCATCAGTATACATGAGAAAACAAGTGAAGAAGTCCCTTAATAATTTCATGGTTAGCTAATCTGACCTCTGCATTATTTTCAACACAAGCTTAATATGAATTCTTCTATATTCCCAGATACTCATACAATTCATCAAGTTCTATAATTTGAAATTAAGACAAAGAAAGTTTCTTTCTTGGGCTACATAATGAGACTAGACATTATCACGTAGCTCTTGTAGCAAGTAACTCACCAATAATGGAATGGTGCTTTTGTAATTTATGATGGTATTCGGTCTTTTATTTATTTAACATCTTTATTTATTGATTCTTTTTTTTTTTGTAATTCCAAAAAAATTTTTATTTTTGTTTGTGATTTTCTTTCATGTCTAAAAAAATGTGGAAATACTGTCCTGTCTTTATATAATATTGACCAGCACAAATCAAAATAATAACCCAGCGAGGTAGTCCACAAGACTTATTTTCATTAGGGTCTTTTTGTTAGTTGATTGAGATATTGAGAGCTTCTAGTGAAAAATTTTGTATTGGTATTCAGAGATGACAATGACAATGAGTGCTGTTTGTAATAAATTATGTATTCAACACATAACAATATACTGTACTATTGAATCGTTCTCCTCTGTCAGTTTAAAGTCATAGTTCACAGCTTACAGTGGTTGTAACACAAAGAGTTACGTTTATGTCAACGCAAAGAAAGCAGCCATACCAGATTACTAAAAACAACTCAGTAAGCCATCAAAAACACCCATTTCCTGATTGGAGGCAATTCACATATGTACTTCACTGAAAAAACCAAAGAATTTAAGGTAAATTTTTCATGAATTAATGTTGTTTAATACAATAGAACCAATGTGCATAATGATTTAGATATATTGAAAATACTGAATCAAAATGTTATTGATCTGAGTAAAACATCATTGCCTCAAGAGACAATGAGCTATATTTTATGTGGCAGATGTTCACTGTGCGTATTATATGCTAACAGCTCACTCAGACTACTGTACAACTGAATTGACCTATGAATTAGCTCCACTCATAGCCTAAATAAATACAATTGAAGCATCTGCATTGCCACAGGGATAATTTTGAACACTTCAAGCTGAAATTTGTGAAAGGAAATCAAAAATATAATGTATGTAAATTTACAACTGGGGGGAGGGGCTATATTCAGACATTGCAGGGTTTAATATAGATCTGAAAAAACAGCTCATTTATTAAAAATGGACTCGTAGATTTTTATTCTAAAAAAGTTTGATACTTAGTATGTCTAACCCCTGGCTCATATAGCATGCTAAATAGAAATCATTATTTGTATATTTAATACCTTTCATCTCTCATAAAATTAATGATTACATTATTATGATTATTTATCCATTAAAATACTTAGTATGTCTAACCCCTGGCTCATATAGCATGCTAAATAGAAATCATTATTCGTATATTTACCTTTCATCTCTAATAAAATTAATAATTACATTATTATGATTATTTATCCATTAAAAAGTATAAATTAATCATTTTAATTATTTAAAATTCACAGGATTTTATGTCAAGATGTCTACTAGTAAGTTGAATCAGCTTTTCAAAAATGTTGACAAGAGGGTGTTTAAGAGACTTCAAAATCCAAAATCCCTCAACTTCCTCCACAGTTTCTGTTTGGGATGCCTGGAAGATTATGCTAAGACTAAAAGAAAGATGATCTGCATTTTGAGGAGAAATTAAAATTATTGTCATTGTCTGTGAGAAGATATATAAATGTTTTGTTATTTTTGGTTGGTGGGCTCTTTTACAGTATATTTAGACTGCAGCATTGTTTTAAATATTTTAATTCTAGGCGACCACAAGTTTTGGGACAAAGCTTTCAAGACTATTAGTTAGTTGCCGTTCTAGAGATCATCTTGATTCTATGTTTATGTTAGTTTGTTCTCTCATGATTAATTAAATTTATTTTTTGGTTGGCCCTACACAGTGGCGTATCAAGGGAGTGCGCGGGGTTGCATGCCCCCCCCCCCCCAAAAAATCTCTATTTTAATAATTTTATAGGAACCACTGATGATACCTTCAACCAGCTGTTGTCAGTTATTTCAGAATGGTATGACCAGCGCGGATACATCAATATGCTGAAAGTTTTGTACAGAGATCTCTTGAAAAACAATTATGAGTTGAATAAGGCTACCAAGGTGATGGGCCTAATGAATTTGTTGATTGCTTCTGGGGATCTACACTCAACACATTTAAATCTTCTATATGATACCATAAACATAACAAAGCAGTATGGCTTGGAAAGGGAAATCAAAGATATACTGCCAGTGTTTCAAAATGTTAGAGATGCAGTAATCTCAACATTCACACCTCACAGACAAAAAGTTATGAAGCTTGGAATGGTACTGATTGATGAAGATGTAAATAAGATCAGTGCAATATATAACAAACCAGTAAAGGAATATGCAGACACATGGAGTTTGATTATGGATCTGGAGCGCAACAGGGTAATTTGTGAAGGAAAAATGGAAGCCTTCATTGAAAAATTGAATTCCCTTACACTCCAACATGCTGTGGAAGCTTTAACAGAAGGTATTCAAGTTAATTGCTATTTTTATATCAAATTAATATTGTTATCTGGTGTGGCATATATACGTACAGTCCATCATGCATCAGCTTACTGCCAGCGGTTATTTTAAGTTATTTATTAATGTTTTGAAATTGACAACATTCATTACAGTTTCAGTGCAAGGTGGTAGAGTTCAATTCTTGTATAGATCTAGGGCAGGGGTTCTCAACTGGCGGCCCGCGAGTGCCTGTTATGTGGCCTGCCAGAACAAGCCGAAAATAATATTTTCCGTTAGGCTTGTGCCAAGAATTCTAACCAATAATTTTGCATTCTGTTTTGCCAACTTGGCCTATATATTGCCCTACAAATTGCAGCAATTTAATCAATCAAATCGGAAGAACTATCGCAGAAAACCCATTGTGTGATATACTGTATAACATTTTGACTTTTTGGTAATACAAATTACAGTGTAACTTTCTTAGGTCAAGTCAAGTCATTATTATTTTTTTTTAAATTTTAATTCGGGAAGGGGAGCATCCCCTCCCAAACCCTCACACGGCTCGCTCGGATGGTGCTATGTGCCATCAACTCTTACCCTGGCCCTTTAAATTTATTCAATGAACAATTCTGGCCCTTTAATTGCAACATAGTTGAGAACAACTGATCTAGGCTATAGTGAAAATTTGCAGTGTTTATTTGCTCTGACTACTTTATTTCCATCAAAGTTTTATTTTTTTATGGAACAGTACATCACAGATCACTAATAAAAAATCATTGAGAAATTTGCAGCCTCTTCACTTTAAGTAAAATGGGTGATGATAATGAATTTCACTATTTAAGTGTGTTATATCTGGCTATCTAGAGGGAGGCCTACTATTTCCCTAAATTTTTGTACCTCAACCCCAACCAAGATGAGGTCCAGTTGGTGTTGACTCAAGAAATGGATATTATTATTATATTATTGAATTGCATTATGAGATACCGGACAGTAAATGAAGAGATTCATTCATTAATGAATCTTCCATTTATTGCAGTGGCTATCTTTAAGGCGTAATAATCGGATGCAGTAACTGACATTTTGGAATGATTGTCCTCCTCACTTTCTTGAGGATCTGCTTCCCTGGCCCCCAATTGTGACACACCATTTTCCCTATAAACTTTTAACTATGTCTACCTTTAAAATTTGTAATGTTTTATATTCAATCAACTTTTATTTACAGAAATCCCAAATGCATCTTCAAACTCTGGACATGGCCATGGTGAAGGTAATTACACATGTATAGTTGATCATAATAACTGTAACATATAGGAAAATTAAGTTGTTCTAAAAGTTCATGCAGGAAAGAACGAAATAATTAACAAATTAAAATTAACAAAAAGAAATGCATAAAAAAAAGTTTAAAAATGTCTGCCCCACAGTACATGGAAAATGATAGTAAGTTACTCAACTGCTTTATCATTCATTTAACCTTGGAGAACATTTTTATACCTCCATGATTTAACATTATATTGTTTACTCAAAACAACTCTCAAAAGTGAATGTCATAATTCTCATTTCTCACAGTGCAGATGCTGTTGATAGCTGACCTGATTAGCTGATTATGCTGGGTTGTTTAAAAATTATAGATTCAATATATATCATTTTATCTTTTATTTAAAAAATTTCTGTAAAATTAATTTGCAAGCGCAAAAGAGAATCACCTGATTCTGAAGGTCAACCATGTCCAAAGACGTATGCTCTTAGTTTCTTAATTGAACTTGATGAATATAAAGACACTCTGAATGTGAAGGATATGCCAGAATTTTTTGACAGATATGAGAAACTTTTCAACTATTATGAACATTATTGACCAAGTCTGGAATAGAAGCAATAGTATTTTATCTATCAGAAAATGATCCTAGTGCTTTGATGCATCTATGAGAAATACATTCTAGTTGAAAACTCACCAAAGATTTGGCACAAATATTAGTCCCAGAGGTCCCAGATTGTTTAATAATTATTAATTTTATCTTTTATTTTAAGAACTTCCTGTAAAATTAAAATGCAGAAGAGAATCTTCTGATCCTGAAGGTCAACCAAAAACACAGGCTCTTATGTCTTTAATTGAACTTTATGAACATAAAGACACTCTGAATTTGAAGGATATGCCAGAATTTACTGACATTTTTGGGAAACTTTATAAATATTATGAAGATTGTGGGTTGGTTCTGAAGAAGATGGAAAATGGATCAATAGTATTTTATCTATCAGCAAATGAACCTAATGCTTTGACGCATCTATGGGAAATACATTCTAGTGGAAAGCTCCTTAAAGATTTGGCACAAATATTAGTGCCAGAGGAACACCAGCAACAGTTCATAGATGAATGGATGACGTACATCGATGAAAATGAATACAAAATGGTGCTCAATAAGCTGAATTGGAAAGGTGAGAAAGTATGAAAATTAATCTAAAGCCAGTTGGAAAAATTTCAGTTTTAGAAGAATGACATATGCTTGAATGCTAAAAGTATATAGTGTATGTGAGCAGGCTGGGCTTTCACACACACACATCCACACACCCCCACCCACACACCAGCTGACAGCTAGCAGGATCTAGATAAATAATATATACGCTCACACAAGAAAATCCCTGATCCAGATACCAAGATGATGGGATCACTGGCCAGTAGGAAACTAGAAATTGGAAATGCGTACATGTGATTGGTTAATGATAGAAATGAGCACAACAGACTGATAGCGCTCGCTAACAATTAGCGTACCCAAATCCTGGTAATGGTTAAAGCTAACTAACCCATCGGCCGTTTCCACACTGGTGCTAATGGTTAACTCCTGATCCGGATAATAGATCTCTAGTGTGAATCCAACCTATGACTGCATTCTGTTATTTTAAATTGTTTTTACAATAGAAAAGAAAACAATAATGTTAAAATAACATTCTTTTGAGCAACACTGATTTCATAGAACATTTTTCTCTATAGCATCTAAGGGAATATCCAAGGAATTGTCTAGAGATGGTGATGAAGAGTGTAAAACAGTACTGGAGCAGCGACGTGATTAGATGAAGCGTGGAGTTTAGTACCTAATTATGCCTCATAACAGAACTGAATAAATAAAGCAATGCTGAAATAATTTTTATAATATACTTTTTTCACATCTATTAAACAAATGTACAGACCTAACCCCCCCCCCCCCCNNNCCCCCCCCCCCCCCCACTTTCTCTGATAAAAATGAAATGCTTACACATACAGTATAGTGGAGCTACAGTGCTAGATAAGCTTGTAGGTTGCAGCTTAGAAATCATAGTAAATAATATTCAAATTAGGTTATTAATAGGTCACTGTAACGTTATTAGGCCTAAAGTATAATATCATTTAAAAAATATTTTTTATTTACAGGATTTTATTTCCAAACGGCTACCAGTAAGTTAAATCAGTTTCTGGAAAATGTTGATGAGAAGGTCTTAGAGTGTACCATCTGCTTTAAGAGACTTGAGAATCCGAAATCCCTCACCTGCCTCCATAGTTTCTGTTTGGCATGCCTGGAAAACTGGGTTAAGACTAAGGGAAAGCTGACTTGCCCAACTTGCTCAAAATCTTCAGCCATTCCAGAGGGTGGGCTTCAGAAGCTTCCACCAAATACCTTTTTAAAAAACTTATTAGACACTATTGAAACATTTTTAGAGAGAGATCAGATGATATGTACTGTTTGTGAAAAAGAAGAACCGGTAAAATACTACTGCCAGGATTGCAGACAGTACTTGTGCTCTACTTGTAGTGATCAACACAAGAGGTATAGACTCTTTGCATATCACAAGTTACATTTAATGGAGGATGTGCAATCAATGAGCCCCTCTCAGATGACTTTGTTACATCCACCTCTGTGTTCACATCACAGTAAACCTTTGGAGTTCTACTGCACAGTTTGTAAAACTCCAATCTGTGTGAACTGTACAATTATGGACCACAAGGAATGGGAAGGAAAACACAAACCAATCAACATTTCAGATGCATTCCAAACATTTAAAGAAACTTCAGCCGCCTTGGAAAAATCTTCCCAACACTTCATAAACAAATTAGAAGATGGTCTCAAAGCTGTCCTCCAGAATGCTACAAAATTAGACCAATGTAAAGACACATGTTTGAGAGATATAGACAATCATGTTGAAGAAATATTCAAAAAAGTAAAGGAGAATAGAGAAAAATTGAAAAATGAAATAGAGACAATCTACAAAAGAAAAAAGAAGGTAAATGATGTACAAATAGATGAATTAAAAACAACAATATCTGATATAAATACAAAACTGTCTTTTCTTAATCAATTATTGAAAAGTGATGAAGGTACAGCAATGCAGTCAAGTGAAACAGTAATTACAGCACTCAGGGACAGAATCAATGAACTACCAAAAACAGAGCCAGATGATAATGGAGAAATTTACTACTTCATAAACAAACAGCAAATGGCTTTATTGGGACAATGTGATATTGGGACTGTAACAGAATTGAGGGCAGCAGATTCTTTAACTTTAAAAGGAGAGGAATCTGTGATCAAAGATCAAACATTTATTGTCAAAATAATCAAAACAGATGAACATGAAATATATGCAAATCAATTGAAGGCAACATGGACACATCCTACTGGAGCCTACAGCATCTCTCAAGTTCAGGAAGACAATGGAGATTATTTTGTGACAGGAAAATGCACAAGTCTGGGAGTTTTTCAACTAGATGTAAGTGCTGATGATGAACCAATTAACCAATCACCAATGATAATCAAAGTAGAAGACGGAAGATTGGTAAATACTATTAAAATAAATGCAACAAATATTAGAGATGTAGTTAAGTGTGAAGATGACTCCATACTGGTTTCATGTTTGACAAATGAAATACTCAAGTACAGGCATTCAGGAGAATATATTGGTAAGGTTACACTACCCCAAGGTGTGAAAGTTCACATAATGTACAAAATGAAGAATGGTAACATAGCATTCAGTGATTACAATAATAAACCTATCAGAATATGCAATATGAATGGTCAGCTGATTAAAACAATTGGTGAGGGAGTATTACCATCACCAGTGTGTATTCATTTGGATGAGACATCAAATGTTTTGTATGCAGCAGTCAGTAACTGTGTGTACATGTTTGACATGAATAATGGCAAGACCATCAAAACAATAGGGTCAGAAGGTACAAAAGAAGGTCAAATGATTTATGTCATTGATGTTACTCTTACTAACCAAGGACACCTTCTTGTATTGGAGTATGGTAACAGTAGATTACAATTATTTAATAATGAGGGAAGGTTCATAAAAGTCCTTGTTGAAGCGGGTGATGAGGATGGTAAGGTAAAATCTCCAAGTGCAGTAGTAGTTGATGAGGATGACAACATCATTATATCAAGTGAACACAAACTACAGCTATTCAGTAGTGATGGAAATTTCATAAAAAGAATTGATAAACCAGAAGATAGAATCAACAATCCATGGGGATTCTCCATCATTTCATATCATCCAAGGAGACTTGCAGTAGCAAATTATGGTGACAATACAGTAAAAATATTCAATTATTAAATACTGACAGTCCACTTGCTTCACTGGTGTGTTTTCAACAATTCAAATTTATAAGTGTAGGAATATCTACACATCCATTATTTCATATCATCCACATAGAGTTAAGTTATGGATCTTAAACTTAAAATAATTATTGAATACAATAATATCGAAATATAAATTTGGCATAATGTTTATAAACTTGTTAAAATATTTGATTATTGAATATGATATACATGGAGCTGAAGTTATGTTTTTTTTTTTAAACTGTTAAAATATTAATTATTCAACACAAATGATATCTATAGAGTTGAAGTTATTAAACTGAAACCAATAATACTGTAATCTACCAACCTCAACTGTCTACAGTGTAGTTCTCATCAAATTTGAATCACACACTATTGATCTTATGATTTTATATTTTTGTAGTGTAAGTGTTTAATCATATAATGCATATACATGTTCTTTTCTTGCATATTGATGTTAAAAATGTTACTTTTCAATCTATTGGGGCTTTTTTGTACAGCCTATCAACTTGTATCTCTTTGATTTACATAAATTTTGATATTTGCAAGTTTGTTTATTCTTTCTTTAGTACCTGTATATTTTTTCTGGTTTTTTTGTATAAAAAAAACCTAACGAGCACACAAAAGAGTGTATATTATAAATACACCTATGGGCATTCATCCATTAAATGAATAAGTCATGAGTCAGAATGAATTAGAGTCAGATTGATTATTCATGTATATATTTAATTTTTCTTATAAACTTGAATCTGCGTAAATAATCTGATTCAAAGTAGTGGGACAGGGATATATTTAAAAGGGGGTTTGTAAGCATTTTATTATTTCATCATCATAAAAAGGAATATACTATATATGATTTAGGTAGTTAAGCTTGGCTTTTTTTTTGCATTCCTCATAAATTTTAATCTGTATGCAACCTAATAAATTTATAGATTTTCATGTACACTTTGACAATAAATTATCTGAATTTGATATGTATGTACAGTATAATTGTTATTACTATATATAATTAACAGCAAGCTTAGCTTTTGTTGACATTTATTGTAAATGTTAACCTGCATTTAAACCAATTCTATTTTATATTTCTTCATGGTATACTTTGACAATAAATCATCTAAATCTGTATAGATGTCTGTATAGTATAATAATTACTATTCATTTTTGTGGCTTACTTTGTACACAGACCCTATATATTGTATTATAGGGTCTGTGCTTTGTAGTACAGTTCTACTGTTATCCAGTACACAATAGTGTGTAATCATGTATTACAGAGAACTGTATATCATGATCACTCAAGATTGACCCTATGATTAGTTCTTATCAACAAACAAATAATACCCTGGACCTCAGGAAAGAACAGTGTAAAAATACTGAGTATCCAGAATAAAGAAAGATTTCTAACTAACAAATTAAATATTTGATCATATCTTTCTTAAACATATTTGAAAATGTGTGATGGTTCTTGGCAAACCAGATGACAATAAATACTAAGCTCCGCCTCCTCCTCATCTGTGTTCTGATATCAACAAAATAGAAAGAAAAGAGTTTAACAAGTCATCTATTAGGTGTTCCAGATACTCTTTACAATTTATTATTATAATTAATATTGAGACAAAGGAAGTTTCTTCTTGCTCAAAAAATGAAAAAATATGTTAATAATTATTGTTATAATTTTAAATGTGCCCAGATATTTATAAAATATTGCTTTTGATTTTATGTTGGTACAACACGTACAATTGACTTGATATTAAAATACATTATAAATAAACAAATTAAATAAATGCATTTCAAATAAAAAAAAAATAATAATGAAAAAAACTGAACATAATAAAAAAAATTCAGTGTATTCTCCTATTCTAGTTATTTCCTCACCTCTTGTTCTGTTCTACTCTGCAGTTCTCTGCTTGTTGTATGATCCTCTTAAAGACTACCAAGGTTTGCAATATTCTTCCTAGAATTCCCAATGTTTGTTCATACTACTTGCTTCAAACTTTTTCATATTCTATCCCTGCAATGCATGGACTCTGCTGCCATTGTTTGATATGCTGAGGAGGAATTCAAAACTTGACTGGTTAAAAAAGAATCATGTAAGGACAGACAGAAATATTAGAGTATTTTAACACAGATTAATATTACAGTGTTTTGAATAATCTTACAGATTAATATTAAAGTGCTTTAAATATTTCACACAAATTAATATCATTATGATTTACTAAAGTAATATAGTAATACCCCAGCCCAAACCCCCCGATTAACCACCAGGGGGTAGTTAATCGGGCTGTTTTTATCCTTCAGCCACAAAATGCCAACAGCCTACACATTTCATATTCTGCATCATGTCTCCAGAATGAGGATCTGCAGGCATTGGTGGCGCTATTTTTAAATTGAGGTATTATTTCTTTTACATCCAACAAGAAGTAACTCACAAATACAGGATGGACTGATGCTTTGTAGACATTCATGAGAAAACCCCTGTGATTGAACCCAGGACCTTTGGGATTGGAAGGTATGAATCAAACAAACAATTCAGAGGCAAATTAGTTGCACTATGTGGGTTTAATATTAATATGACCATTAGAAGTTCTATTGTAATTTTCAGATTCTCCATTTTTGCAGTGTATGAATCATTTTCAACATATATTTTTTGATAGCGGCACACGTTAAATGCTTATGAAAATATAACTGTAATTATTCCTGCCGTCCCTCCATGGCTTGAGAATTAAAAGTAGCTAGAAAAAACTAGAAATAAACACAAGCTTCAAGCTTATGAATAAATATTGTGGTTGATTTTGATATGACAGCTATACAGACCTTCACTTACCCTGCAATTCTGGGATAAACTGACACATAAGATGTTTGACGCTCCAACTGAAATTCAATAAAAATTCATTGATATTAATCACAATCATATAATAATTTTGAAGTTAGTAGAATATATCACCTATTAGTATGTATCACCTATTAGTCTATATCACCTATTAGTCTATATCACCTATTTTTTTATAACCGAAAAATTCACAATGAATACCAAATTACAACTGAAAGATATTTATCCTAGGAAAATAAGAATTAGCAAGTAAACAAATATTTATTAATGCATACAAAGAATGCAATGGCACTTTAAGCACTTATTCCATTAAGCAAATAATATATCTATTCAACATTACTTGATGCCAATTAATTTTAACATCTGAATGGCAATTCAATTTTAAGATCTTGTACTTTTCTTTTCGAATGAAAATTGATATGTATAATTTTGTTTTATTTTACAGTGTTTTATTTAATTGTATCTCATTTAATAGGTCTACAGTATATTATTTAGCTAAGGCATCTAATTATTACACTTCTATAAGATAACATTAAAAATCATCATAGTCATATACTGTACTGCATTTACAGGCCTTTAACTCATCTGTGTTTACCTTTTGTTTTCAGTTTGATATATTTTGTTTTCATTTTTTTTCTGGATGCACCATCAGGTATCTGATGTGTGCCACTGATGCATAAGTGAATTCAATAAATATTGTATTGTATGCTTGTAGTGAATGCATTTAAATTTTATAAAAAAGTAATTTTTTTTTATTAATGCTACTTTAGAATTATAAGTCACAATAAACTTTTTAAAATTTAAAAAGTATGTAGGAGTACTGGTAAGTTAATAATCAAATAGGGGGCAATGGTAAAGCTGTGGTTTCCAATCAAAAGAACATGGGTTCGAGTCTCTTGATGATCACTTGTGTCTTTGGGAAGTACTACAACCAAGTTATGTCTCCCTGCTGTATAGTGGTTGCTATTTAGCCTTAAATCTGACTGTTCACTTTTTTATTTGTGGTTTTCCAGAGTCTATGACAGATGCAATATCTGCCATAAACACTTTCTTCTTTTGATCTTTATGATGTTAGATTGCTGAAACTGGTTTTTAATTTGTCAATAATTTGATTGTGATAACTTTAACATAGATTACACCAAATTTATTTAAATATTTTTTTATTGTTTTATTTCTTGTTCAATTTTGAATTACAGTTTGCCCTCCAATTCATGTTTTTAAAATTAAATTATAATCCGGCATTATAATTTGATTTTGCCAAATAATCTAATTTCAACTTGTGGGACATGTAGATTCTTAAAGGGGAGGGGGTGGGCTGGTGTGGTTCAGCAGGCTCTTTTTACCCTTCAGCCTTTTGTTTGCCTTCATTTATAAATGTTACCTGCACTAAAATGAATTTTATTGTATATTTCATCATGTATACTTTGACAATAAATCATCTGAATCTAGACGTACGTACAGTATTTGTAAATAACAAATACTGTACGTACGTCTAGATTCAGATGATTTATTGTCAAAGTGTATGTGGGTTGCTTTATAGTACAGTTCTAATTACTGTTTCCAAGCATATTATGTACATGTAATATAGAAAACTGTATCTCTACTCAAGCATGAGTACAGTTTGCCCTCAAATTCAAGACTATAGGCCTTTACTTCAAGAGCACTTGTTTAGCACAAACATACCCTCTACTGTAAAAAGAGACCAAATCCTGAGACCACTCTATGTTTTCAGGTCCCGAAGGTAGTCTCATAATTATTAACAAATCAATAAATAAGTTAAATAATTCATCATAACTTTCTAATGGCTCTCACTGGAATGACAAGCAGACCACATGACATGCAGTATACTATCTCCAACTCCTCATTGTCAGTGTTCTAAAATCAAGAAAGAGAAAGGAAGGGCTTATAACAAGTGATCTATCAAGTAAGTGTTGGTGTGTGTTGATTGTGTCATCGTGTGTGTGTATATAGGTGCATTGGAGGGGGTGCCAATCTCTTAGTGGGTGTGTGTGGATGTGTGTTACATTAATTTCTCTAACCAATTGTTAAAATGCAAGAACGGCAAAGAGTTTGTAAAAGCACATGCTACTGTGCCACATAGTAAAGGGTGTGTAATTGGGGGATTTATATGCATGTGGGTATTTGTCAGCATACATGGAAAAAACAAGTGAAGAAGTCCAATAATAGTTTCATATGTTAGCAAATCTGAACCCCCGGCATTAATTTCAACACAAGCTCAATATGAATTCTATATTCCCAGATACTCATCAATTAAGCATACTCTATAATTGAAAATGAGACAATTAAGGAAGTTTCTTTCTTGCTCTACAAATGAGACTTGCAAGTATCTTATTGTGCTTTTGTATTTTTTAATGGTTAGGTCTTTTCTTCTAATTAACATCTTTTATTTAATGATTCATATTCTTTTTCATAATTAAAAAAAAATTCTTATTTTTATTAAAGTGAATTTTTCGTGTCTCGTGGATACGTGGATTTTATTTGGTTTAAAAAATGTGGAAATATTGTCTTCTTTTAATAATACTGACAAGCTTAAAATGAGGAGATGGAAAGAAAGAGATCAATACAAATGAAGGGGAGGAAGAGAGGAAGGAAGGAAAGGAAGAGAAAATGTAGATCAAAAAGGAAGAGGAGAATAGAGCACAAGATAGTAGAGAAGATATGAAGAAAGAGAGAGAGAAAAAAGAATAGGATAAAAAGGAGATTCATTACTTTTACTAACCCAGTAAGTTAGTCCAAATAATTATTTCCATTGGGGTCTTCTTAGTGGTTGAATTGAGATAACGAGAGTTCAGTACAAAAAAAAAAAAAAAAAAAAAACTGGATTGATAATCAGATATGACAATGAAAAGGAGTGCTGACTGTAATATTTTGTATTCAATATATAACAATTTACTATTGAATAGTTCTAGTCTCTGCTTTTACAAAGTCATGGTTGGTTGATAGCATAGACAAAGAAACAGCTTATACCAAATCGAATGACTAAAGATACAGTAAAACCCTTAAAAAACATCCATTTCCTGATTGGAGACACTTCATATATGTACCTCACTGCAAATTTCAAAAGACATAGAACCTAAACATACTTGAATTGCAGTCTGTAGAGCAGTTCAATGGAGTCAATCATATTTTTTTATTTTATCCTAAAAAAAAAAGAGATAATTAGGTTAGTGGGAAAAGAAAGATGAACAATAATAAAACAGAAAAGGAGAGATGGAAAGGAGAGTTGTGGTAGAGTTGCTGTAGGATCATGATGAGAAAAGAGAGGAGTGCAATTTATAGGCTCTAAGAATGGAGGGAGTATGGAAAAATAAGGAGATGAGATATTGATAGGAATAGAAAAGAAACAGAAAAAATAATTGAGGATAAGGAATAGAAAAAGGAGATGGAGGGGAAAGATGGGCAGGAAGATGATCAGGAGGAGATGGATTGGAAAGACTATAGATTCATAATGTGTTTAGAGTAGGAGAGAAGATGGAAAGAAAAAAGATGGGTTGAAAAGAAAGGAGAATAAAAGATGGAAGGAAAAGAGTGAAAAGAAGAAAGAGAATAGGACACAAGACAGTAGAGAAGGCATGAAGAGAATGTGAGGGAATATTGAGAATAAGATCTGAGGGAGTTGGTAGATTTTTGGTGTCAAAAACACAAATCTACCTAATACCAAGTAAGTTGGTCCAAAGACTTATTTACATTGCGGTCTTTTTTTTTAGTTGAATAGATTTAATGAAAGCGTATGGATTGGATCCAGCTATGACAATGAAAATGAGTGTTGACTTTGCAATGTATAACAATTCACTATCATTGAATAGTTCTCAGCCTCTATTTTCACAAAGTCATGGTTGATAGCATACACAAAGAAATTAGCCCATACTAGGTCACATGACTAAAAGTACTGTAAACCATTTAAACACCAATTTCCTGATTGGAGACACTTCACAAAACTGTTTTACTCCACTGAAACACCCAAGAATTTAAGGTAAATATTTTATTCATCTATGTTTTTTAGCCAATGAATAACCTAATCATTCAGAAATAATTGTAAATACTGAATCAAATTATAGTATGAGTATAGTACCATTGAGGAAGTCCCAGCATATTAATATATTCCTCAAATTTAGAAAATGTTGCTAGATTATATAAGATAAGCACTAGATTATATAAGATAAGCACAAGTCAAAATCCAACAGCAATTCCACCGCCATCTTTGTCATTTGCACAAGGAGAGTTATGAAAGTGAATCCAGGGGAAGTGCATTTGCAACAGGCTCATATCCACCCCAGTAGCTAGGGGCCAAGTACTAGAAGGGCCACACCCACATCAGTCTTATAACAGTTGAAGCTGAACTTTGAGTTTTAATTAAAAGTATTGCTGATGTTCAGTTTTAAATAGGATAGAACGGCAAATACCACCACCTCGGCCCCACCATGGTTGGGACTGCGACAAGAAAAAATCAATGATATAACAACACTTGCCCAGGATTTTTCATTCTCAGACTTAAATAATTTGACATGACATTCTTCAATTTTTTAAATCAAATACATTTTTGTGCATTTTGGGGAACACATGGAATGGTGCATACCAGGCATGCCAAAACTCTCAGTAATCACCATAGTTGGTATGAGGCAATAAAAAATTAAAGGATGGAGCAGCTTTAAATGCAGCAAATAGAATTCAGACTTGAAATAATACATGGTTGAGGCTGTGGGTATTGAAATATTATGGTTTTATTTAGATACAGCAGATATGTGCGTGGGAGGGGATGCCAATCTTCTAGTGGGTGTGTGTGGATGTGTGTTGCATTAATTTGTATCACCAATGATTTAATGCAAGAATGGCAATAGTTTGTAAAAGCACATCTATTGTACCACATAGTAAAGGGTGTGTAATTGGGGGATTTATATGCATGTGGGTATTTGTCAGCATACATGGAAAAAACAAGTGATAGTTTCATATGTTAGCAAACCTGAACCTTGACATTAATTTCAACACAAGCTTAATATAAATGTTATATTCCCAGTTACTCATTCATTAAATTGTATAATTGAAAATGAGACAATTGAAATTTTTTTCTTGCTCTACAAATACACGAGCTCAATATGAATTCTATAGTCCCAGATACTCATCAATTCATCATATTTTATAATTGAAAATGCTGTCTCTTATACACATCTATTCAGTACGGTATCCCAAGTTTGTTGAGTTATTTGTTCTTTGTAGCGTTCCATGTTATGTGCATTTATGTCTCTTTTGTGTATGTATTTATTGAATGATCGTGAGTATTTTTCGATTCGTAATATGTTTTCCTTGATTTCAGTTAGCGTTGTTTGATCTGTGTTTATTGTTTCCCTTAGTGTGTCTACTAAGCCACAAACCTTTTTGATTTCTTTTTTGTTTTCAGTAGCAGCATCCTGAGCGAAAGCAACTGAAGATTTTAGGTCATTATTATCCTGTTCCAGCTTGTTTAATCTCGATTCAACTCGTTGAAGGCGTGTCATTATTGACGAGTGGTTTTGTAAGACTGTGTCGAGCTTGCAGTCAAGCCGCTTATTCATTGTTTGAATCTCGCGCTAGCGGTCTTGTGACGTATCGTCAGGTGACGTTCCCGTTTCAGCAGCGGATTCACATTCCGCTGGGTTAGGCCTTCCCTAAGGCTCAGGTCTGTCTGAAGTTTTTTGCTTTCTTTTAGGAGGCATCAGTGCATTTAGTTAACAATTTTGATCGTACTCCAGCGTGTGTGTATATATATATATATATATATACAATATATATATAAGAGCTGGATGTAGAATCAGAATCACTTTATTATCCCCAAAAGAAGAAATTGTTTGCTCGATATTCCTTTCTTTAAAACACAATACTTCTTTAATACATTATAATATATTTGCAGATATAATTATCTGTTTTGCTTGATTATTCATTTTTGTGTATCTTATTTCACATTATACTAGGAATCTTTAAGTCTGATGTGGTGACTCACACACAGTAAACAAACAAGTCAAAGAGGCTGTCTGTTGTCAAAATATGGCAGTATCATCAGTCTGTCGATACGGTACAAAAACTGATAATTTAATGTTTAATTACCTTTATCCAAAATAATTGTTATTTATTATTAAGCAATTAGTAGAGCTCCGCATAGTACACTATAAGAAAATTATTATATGAAGGTTAGATTTAATGCTTTAAAAAATTTCCTGAGGGCCTACAAGGCCAGAAGGAAATATTTGAATGCATTAAATTTAACCTAAGTATGATAATTTTCCGCTAGTGTACAATGCATGCTCTACCAATTGCTTTATAAGTCAATCGCAGTCTTTTAATGTTAGTTTTGACAAGGCAACTTGCTTTGGATTTGACAACCAACTGTTGCAGTCATTGGTAACTATAGTGATATGATCAGTATACTGTGTGCGTATTTGGTTCATATTTACATTTAGCTGTGCATATGCTGATTTGTGCTGATGCAATACGCGTTAATTACACATCAGCAGTACTGACAGTACGGATATGATAAATTACTATTCTATTGTAATTTGAATTGTGTCAGAAGAACTTGTTTGTAATGCTATTTTGAAATAAGCATTTCTTAAAGCATTCGAGAGAGAATACATTCACTGACTGTTTGGTCAGTGCAGACAGGTAAAAATCGTGCAATTTCATAACTACGCTAGGGCTACAGGCAGGCCTAGCACTAGCCTAGTACTATGAGGCCTGTCTGGCCATAGGCCTATGCCTACACATAGTTTCATTCCTTGAGTCTTCAAAATAGTTCTAGAATATTCCTATTTTCATTGATTCTGATTTGAATTTGAAGTAACTTTCTTCAGGTACTAATTAACCTCCTTGTTTTACGAAAGGAGTTTTCAATTACAACTCAATTTTTATCGCGGTGCGCAATATCTTTGCGTTGACGAAAAAATAAGTATTTTTTTTTGCACATGAACCTAAATCAAGCTAAGCGTCCACTATTGAGAAATTATTGGACTGGGTGGGATAGGCAAATAACATTGTGAGTTGTAGTGATGACGTTACGATTGACTTATAAAAATCATTATTGACAATAAAAATGTTTAACCTTTATCCCTATGCAGTCAAATATCTATAATTCCATATGAATATGGGAATGACTAAATATCAAAGAGGTTTACCTGTGGGTGGACCGGGGTTGGGTGGGAAGGGAATGCACTGTGGTGGCACATGGTGGCTTACAGTTAAAGATATATGATTTATTATGGTAAACCTTTGCTTTTGGTTGCATACTGAAATAAATTGGTATAAAAGAAAATTTCTTAAATTTATTTTCTTCAATGCAGACATTTATATAATAAGTGATAATGCTGAGTGGGAGAATACAACAATACTTGAGTTGCAGAAAAAGAGACCAGGCATACAGTGTATTAGCAGAAATGATTGGATTCCTGGAAGATACCAACTTGAGAATTTGGTTGAACCAGTGAGTTTTTGCAAAATAGTGGTGGTTGGGTTTACTGCATCATCATCAACTGGCAGTCCAAATTATCTGGCACAAACAGTTGTTCAAGAAATGTTGCAGAACAATAATATCGATGAGGGGAAACTTATTCCTGTGAGGATATCAAAAGATGCTAAGATACCAACATGTCTTAATGTGTTAACTCCAGCAAATGGTTGGGAAGATAATGTGTATGAAAAGTTGCTGCGTGCATTAGATGGAGCAAGTAGGTATATCTATTTATTACATCAACTATATCAGATGTCATTTATGCAGTTGAGATGGCTGCCATTTTAAAATTTTATCTTAACTTTGCAACCAGGAAAGTTGGAAGCACAAATGAAGTGTCCAAACATATGTTTTAAGGTATAAGGAATACAATACAATTATTATCTGAAGTGTCCAATTCTTATAAGTATCCCAAAACTAAGCTACAGAAATTGAATAAAACCATTAGCTTATAAACACTACAAAACTTAAATGGCGTGTCAAAAGGGCTGCCATTTAAAATTTCTAATGTAATCTGTAAATGTAATTTTGCAATCAAGCATATGATAGAATAATATATCAAGCATTTAAGACACTAAGAATGATAATTTCCCAAAAGAACCAAAACGAAGCGTTGTGCAAACTGGTCCCAATTTTGAATTTCTAATGTAAATTAGTAGATTTACAAGGAAACAGAACTAGGGGTGTACTTACATGCGTTATGGAGTGTCATAGTTTTGTGGGACCTGAAAAGGTGTGCAGTCGGTTGGTTGTTACGATGCCCGAGTGACCTCGGAATACAGCAACAGCAAAATATTCAAGCAGTATGTATGCAAAATATGTTCAATTCTACGATGTTTTGTTATTTCATATGATCATTTAATACTGTATTTGTACTTCTGCAGCACATTAATGCAGTACACTGAAGTACAGATATTATTATTATTTTTCCAAATAAAATGAAAAAAAAAAAAATGAAACTGTGTGCAATACAGAGTTTGGAAAACTCCATTGCACACATGTAATGAAAGAGCCCTATGTGTAAAACAGGTTGTCTTTACTTCAGGTACTAACTTTCCTGAAACACTAATAGACTGCGTACTGTGTAATTAGACAAAATAATTTTTAAAAGTAGATTAAGTGGTGTTTGTAGGAAATCACAAAATAATATCAGAAGAAGCAAATGAAATATACATGTCCAGGATAAAATGGAAAAAAATATTGTTCTTAAGAACACAAAGAGAATATTAAAGCAATGCCAAGGTCGGTGTACAAAAGACTTTACACTGACTTTACCAACATATGTCAATGATGATGCAACAACATTGTGCCAACATAGGTGGACATCAATGATAAAAATACTGTAACAGATTATGAATGTAATGACTGATTTATATTTTGCATATCTAAATTGTCTAATCTAAAAATTACATTTTATGTTAAAGAAGGCATAAAAATATGTTTGAAACTTCGATTGGCTTTTTCAAATTTCTGGTTGCAGAGTCATGATAACATTAAAAAAATTTTGGAGTACTTATAAGATTTTGACCATCCTGATAATCATTTTATTGTTAACTGTACCTTAAAACACATGTTTAGACATTTCACTTGTGCTTCCAACCTGGTTGGAAACATAAAAAAATGGTGGTCATTTTGGACACCATCTTGGTTCGGGGTACTTATAAGATTTGGGCTCCGCAGATAATGGTTCTATTGGATTCCTTGTACATGTACCTTAAAACATATGTTTAGACACTTTATTAGTGCTTCAATCTTGTCTGGTTGCAAAGTTATGATAACATATAAGAATTTTTCAGAGAGAATTTTATGGCCTTTTAGTATGTTATTCTACTCATAATTCTTAACCGATCCTGAAAAATTTAGAAATTTCTGGGTCTGCCTATATTTAAGACCTAAGCTCTTGGACTACGCTTTCACAATAACAACTGAAAAAGAGAGGTCTTTCAATAAACCAACCTGATAGCCTTGCCCAGTGTGTTGGATGCAGTTATCACTTCCTGTCCAGTGTGTTGGATGCAGTTATCACTTCCTGTCCTCTAGTATCAGTGGATCCATGGGTGGATATGTACCAGTGGACACACACAGCATATATATGCCAGTAAAATACATTAGTGAATGTGTCCATGCCTGTATAATGCCGTGTAATAGGTGATTGGCTTCTAGAATCTATTAATGACTGCAACATGACAGCCACATGCTTCTAGAAAAATTGAAAACTATGGACCAAAAGGAAATGAGATATTGTGGTTCCAAAATTACTTGGCTGGAAGGAAGCCAATAAGTTAAATATCCAATAAAATATTGCTTCATTAGATTTTTTTTATAAGCGGCGGAGCAGTTATACATCTTATGATTGATTGATTGATTAATTAATTTAATTAAAAAGCCATAATATTTTTACATTTTTGCAATTTAAAATTATGCATTTATTTTTCCATAGAATTAAAATTAAAAGTCTGTATGAAGCCATCAGGAAACCAAACATATGAAGATTCCCGTACTATTGTTGTTCAACGCCTTTTAAAATTATCCGAGAATATGGATGACAAGATGTTGGAAAAATTATCAGATGTCCTTTCAAAAATAGAAATAGAAATGCAATATGCAAAAGATGGATCTATAATATTTTACCTTTCTGTGTGTAGCTCAAAAGCTCTGACAAATCTATGGGAAATCCATGCAAGTGGGCAACTTACTAAAGATTTTGCAAATATATTGATACCAGAAGAGCTACAGAAAGTGTTTTTGGATAACTGGATGACAGAAATCGATGAAGCTGAATACAAATCAGCTCTTGATAAGCTAAATGGAAAGGGTAATGTATTAATACAATATGGTTTCTTTCAATTAAATTAACATCCATCATTCTTATCTCAGCACAAGGGCTAAGAATTACCACACAAGCACACAGATCTAATAAAGTAGACAAATTTTCCTATATAATATTAAATTTTATATTATATAAATATAAGTAAAAAACAGATAAATAACAATGCTCAAATAGGAAAATTATAATTTTATCTAGAGTTAACCCTTCAAAAAAAGTTCTTTATTTTCAATTGTATAAAAAATGCGCACTCTCGCTATTGAGGTGAGTATAACACCCCAATGAACTTTCTCTCACACAAATGACTGAAATGCTCAGGCGTGATCTACAAATTATCCCCAACGACAGAAACGGGTCAAACACGTTTACTATTGTTATATGACAAGCTCCCAAACGCGTCTGTGAAATTCCGTTTGGAAGCTTGTCGTTCGAGCCGTTTATTCCGTTTGGAAGTTAACTCCTCCCCTTTTCATATGGCTGACTGTGACAAGCTCCCAAACGCGTCTGTGAAATGCCGTTTGAAAGCTTGTCGTTCGAGCCGTTTATTCCGTTTGGAAGTTAACTCCTCCCCTTTTCATATGGCTGACTGCTCGTGAATGGCAAATGTTAAACGCGTTCAGCGGAATTTGGGATTTGATCGTGATTTAAACAACTTCAAAACTTGTTCAGTGTCCCTACCGTACCTAGGCTATGTAGGCCTAGGCCTATATTTATAATAGCAGTAGCCCGGTAGTAAAATGCTAGCCTACGCTAGGTGACAGTTCACGAAGAAATGTTTATAATAAAGGCCTAAACTTAAGTATTTTTTTTGTTGGGGAAACCCCAATGTTTCTTGTATTTTTAGTAGGCTAGGCCCTACCATTACCTGTAGGTTTTATAGAAGAGAAAGCAATCGCCAGTAACCTTCCTACCCAGATTATTGTGCGATGTTCGAATTGACCTATCAAAACAAGTACCTTTTGCCCAACTTTCCAATTCTCACATGCCTGCACAGCCCGCACAAACAGCATGTAAACACTGACCTGGATCAGCCGCAGTTGAAGAAGTTCGTTGTGGCGATCATGTGATATCGCACGTAGAACAACGTATGCTATGGCATTGTTTGTTTTACTGTGTATGCTATATGAATTTAATACATGTTTGTATTATTATTATATTATGTTTTAAAAATGGTTAAACCATCATCCAGCAATGGTATTCTAGTATATCACTGTTTCCTATTTTAATGTTTTTATGTAGGCCTATAGTGAATGCATCAACACCCACCATGTTGATATATTCACTAGGCCTATTCAATAAAGATTTTTGTATCGCCCCATGCGTATCGTATTTTCTGATGTAGCCAAATGTATCTAGAGGAAGAATAGGGTAGGCCTCGTATATCATTTGTATCCATGTACACTATAAATTGTATACAATACTTGTATTTAATGGGCCTAAATAAATCATCGGGAATATGCATCGATAACTTAAATAAAATCACGAGGCAAATATTAAAACAGTGTAAATATTTATTTCATTTCCTTCAACTTAACTTATATACAATGAAACAGATTCTATCTTGTTGGCCTATTGCCTGCTAGTCTGCCCGCTGTTCAGTATAAAATGATGGTAGCGGCATTTACCATTCACAGCTTCTTTTAGGGCTCTGTATTGACTTGTTGTCGATCCGGGGTACTGCGCATTTCTATTTGATTAAAAATAGCTGTAAGTCTGATTCTACATAATTCTGGCCTAACCAAGGTTTCGCCGTTCACCTTGCACTTTGATCCAGTTATATTTGAATCGGCCATCTCCTGGGATGTAAACATCATCTCTCATCATCTCACATGACGTTTCACAAGGTCATGGACCAACCATCTTGGGATACAACCGACAAGGCAATGACTTCACCTATAGGTCGATGTCGGTTTTGTCCGGCATACACATTTAGTAGCAATGCAGAGGTAACTTCGCACAGGAGGAAGTATCACCCAAGACAAGATGTTTTAAAAGAATAGGATATGTCTTTCAATACCCCGAAACCTCAGAAATATCGGGATGGTGTCCGGCGGGGGATAGTTTTTACTATCCTAGTTTAACTTTTATCTATCAGAATCTAGCCCCGAATCCTAGACTATGTATTTAAAGCGGCCTGTAGCATGTGTATACAGCATTTGTATTTTTTGTCGATGGATAAATAAATGTCCGAATATAAGAATTGAATAGTGTTTTCTGTATACTTTTTGGGTCAGTTAAGAATTAGCACCTAATTAGGCCTATTAATGAAATACAACGGTACACGTACATTCACTTGTATGTTTTATTTATATTTTGACATTAACATAGGCCTTTAACACTCAACATTATTTTTATTTAACATAAGCCAATAAACAGCTTCCACACATAAAATAACAATAAGCCTAACCAATAAAAATATATAAAATACAAAACAAGATTTATGCAAGATTAAAAAAATTAAACTTTTACAGAAGTCGCCGTCCGGCAAGCAGACAAGGCCATACTTTAAACTGGCATCCAGGCACTCCATCGAACGTCCTATTATTAGCATCTCAACTGACCCACTTCTGTCAGAGAGCGGCGCTCAAAGCGAATTTATATAGACCGCGGAGGAAAGTTTCCTCCAATCAACAACGGCGACACAGTCAGTGACATTTGTCACGTGATGTTGCGTACTCTGTTGGACTAATCACATCCACACACACGAGGTACCCAATATTAATTGTACAGTAGTTCCATAGTCCTAGTTGCTGTATATAATAATAATATATATTGATGCCTACGTTTAATAATAGAGAAAATAGATGTTCTATTTTCTCTATAGTTTATTGAATGATGTTTCGCGAATACTGGCGTCCATTTGTGTTCCCATGTGATATGTGTGCAGGGAGTTGATAAAAATGTTTTTTCGTTTGTCGTCAGCTTCTCAGCAGGTAGGCTGCTATTTAACAAAGATCGGTCTTTCCGACAGAGCAAACGGCAATTAGGCCTCCATGCATGTGCTGCCATTATCATCATTTACCACTTAATTTAACTATTAGGACTATGCAGCCTTTAAACTTTGAACTTGGTTCATTTCAAAGTAAAACTTGTTCAGTATTTTAAATTGTACAAAAACGGTAGTTCAACCGGGGCCTGGTCTAACGACACAGACGCGTTTGTCATCCAAAACAATAGAAACAATGGCAAATGCGTTCAACAGCACAAACGCGTATAGATCCGTCTGGGACATATTCCGACTAGCTTATTAATATTCATGAGGCACGATAATTAGACGATCGCTTTCCCTGACGCGTTTGTAATACATGGATTTCCCAGACGCGTTTCTGTCGTTGGGGATAATTTGTAGATCGCGTGGGTCACGTCAGCTTGAAAATAATACAGTAATCAAATTAGGTTATCAATTAGGTTTGTGTATTTATTTCTATTATATAGTCCAAATTATAATAGTTATTAAACATTATTTTTAAATTCACAGGATATTATTTAAAGGTGGCTACCAGTGAGTTGAATCAGTTCTTGGAAAATGTTGATGAGAAGGTCTTAGAGTGTACCATCTGCTTTAAGAGACTTAAAAATCCTAAATCCCTCACCTGCCTCCATAGCTTTTGTTTGGAGTGTCTAGAAGACTGGGTTAAGGTGAAGGGTCAGCTGACTTGTCCGACTTGCTCAAAATCATATCACATTCCAGAGGGTGGGCTACAGGAGCTTCCACCAAATACCTTTCTAAATAACTTATTAGAAACTATTGAACAAATTTCAGAAAAAGATCAGATGAAATGTGTTTGCAGAATGGAAGCACAGGTAAAATACTACTGCCAGGATTGCAGACAGTACTTGTGCTCTACTTGTAGTGATCATCATACAAATTATAGACTCTTTGCAAATCACAAGATGCATTTAATGGAGGAGGTGCCATCAACGAGACCTTGTCACATGTCTGCATTACATCCACCTCTGTGTTCACATCACGGTAAACCTTTGGAGTTCTACTGCACAGATTGTAAAACTCCAATCTGTGTAAATTGTACAATTATGGACCACAATGCATGGGATGGAAAGCACAAATTTATTAGCCTTTCAGACGCATTCCAAGCATTTAAAGAAACTTCAGCTGCCTTGGAAAAATCTGCCCAACACTTCATAAAAAAATTAGAAGATGGTCTCAAAGCTGTTTTACAAAATGCTACAAAATTACAACAAAGCAAACATACAAGTTTGAGAGATATCGACAATCATGTTGAAGAAATATTTAAAAAAGTTAAGGAGAATAGAGACAAAATGAAAAATGAATTAGAGAAAATCTACAGAAGAAAAAATAAAGTGAATGATGTACAAATGGATGAACTAAAAGCAACAATATCTGATGTAAATACAAAACTGTCTTTTCTTAATCAATTATTGAAAAGTGATGAAGGCACTGCAATGCAGTCAAGTGAAACAGTAATTACAGCACTCAGGGACAGAATCAATGAATTACCAAAAACAGAGCCAGATGATAATGGAGAAATTTACTACTTCATAAACAAACAGCAGATGGCTTCATTGAGACAATGTGCTATAGGGACTGTAACAGAATTGAGGGCAGCAGACTGTTTAACTTTAAAAGGAGAGGAATCTGTGATCACAGATCAGACAATTATTGTCAAAATAATCGAAACAGATGAACATGGAATATATGCAAATCAACTGAAGGCAACATGGACACATCCTACAGGGGAAACCAACATCTCTCAAGTTCAGGAAGATAACAATGGAGATTATTTTGTGACAGGAAAATGCACAAGTCCAGGAGTTTGTAAACTAGATGTGAGTGCTGGTGATGAGCCAATTAAACAATCACCAATGATAATCAAAGTAGAAGAGGGAAGATTATTAAATACTATTCATATAAATGCAACATTTATTAGAGATGTAGTTAAGTGTGAAGATGACTCCTTACTGGTTTCATGTGCAACAAATGAAATGCTCAAGTACAAGCAATCAGGAGAATATATTGGTAAGGTTACACTACTACAAGGTGTGCGAGTTCACAGAATGTACAAAATGAAGAATGGTAACATAGCATTCACTGATTTTAATATTAATACACCTATCAAAATATGCAATATGAATGGTCAGGTGATTAAAATAATTGGTGAGGGAGTACAGAGTACACCACGAGGTATTCATGTGGATGAGATGTCTAATGTTTTGTATGTAGCAGATTTTGACAATAGCTGTGTGTACATGTTTGACATGAATAATGGCAAGACCATCGAAACAATAGGGTCAGAAGATACAAAAGCAGGTCAAATGAGTTATGTCATTGATGTTACTCTTACAAACCAAGGACACCTTCTTGTATTGGAGTATGGCAACAGTAGATTACAATTATTTAATAATGAGGGAAGGTTTATAAAAGTCCTTGTTGAAGCAGGTGATGAGAATGGTAAGGTGAGGTATCCATGTGGAGTAGTAGTTGATGAGGATGACAACATCATTATATCAAGTCAACACAAACTACAGCTCTTCAGTAATGATGGAAATTTCATTAAAAGAATTGATAAACCACAAGATGGAATCAACTATCCATGGGGATTATCTATCATTTCATATCATCCAAGGAGACTTGCAGTAACAAATTATGGTAATACAACAGTAAAAATATTCAATTATTAAATATTGACAGTCCATTTGCTTCCACTTGTGTGTTTTTAACAATTCAAATTTATAAGTGTAGTAATATCTACATATCCATTATTTCATATCATCCAGAAAGAGTTAAGTTATGGATCTTAAACTTAAAACAATTATTGAATACAATAATATCGAAATATTAAGTTGGCATAATTGTTATAAACCTGTTAACATATTTGATTATTGAATATCATATCCATATAGAGCTAAGTTACGTTTTTTTTAAACTGTTAAAATATTAATTATTCAACACAATGATATCTATAGAGTTGAAGTTATTAAACTGTTAAAATATACAAATGAAAACAATACTACTGTAATCTGCCAATCTCATTTGTAATTCTCATCAAATTTTAAGCACACACTATTGCTCTAATGATTTTATTTTTTGTGGTGCTTTTCAAAGTAGAAAATTTTAATCACATACACATACATGTTATTTTCTTGCATATTGATGTTAAACATTTTACTTTTCAATCTATTGGGGCTTTTTTGTACAGCCTATCAACTTATCTCTTTGATTTTCATAAATTTTGATAATTGCAAGTTTGTTTTGTATTTTTTAGTTCCTGTATATTTCCTTTGTGTTTTTCTGTATAAAAAAACTAACAAGCTCACAACATTATAAATACACCAGACATTCATATCCATTAAATGAATAAGATGCGCTGAGTCAGATTGATTATTCTGGTATATATTTAATTTTTCTTAAAAAAAAATAAACTTAAATCTGCCTAATTAATCTGATTCAAAGTGGTGGAGACAGGGAAATATTTAAAAGGGGTGGGGAGTGGTAAGCATTTTATTATTTCATCATCATAAAAAGAATACACTGTATAATGATTTAGTAGTTAAGCTTAGCTTTAGTTTGCATTCATCATAAATATAATCTGTATACAACCAATAAATTTATAGATATTTATATATACTTTGACAATAAAATATCTGAATCTGATATGTATGTACAGTATAATAAGCAATTAGTAGAGCTCCGCATAGTACACTATAGGAAAATTATTATACAAAGGTTGGATTTAATGCTTGAAAAAAATTTGCTAAGGGCCTACGAGGCCTGAAGGAAATTTTTGAATGCATTAAATCAAACCTAATTTTCCATCAGCGTATGATGCATGCTCAACTAATTGTTGCTTCACCGTCTTTTAACTTCAGTTTTTGATAACCAACTGTTGTAGCAGTCATCGGTTGCTATAGTGATATGATCAGTATAACTGTGCATATTTTTAATTGGCTGAGCATATGCTGAATTTTGTCCTGCAGTACGCTTTTAATTAACTACACATCAGCAGTACAGTATGGATACGATGAATAATTATTGTAATTTGTGTTGTATTAGAAAGAACTTGTTTGTAATGCTATTTTGATATACTTTCATCAAAGAAATAAACATTCCAGCATTTGAGAGAGAACACAGTCACTGACCTCATTGGTCGGTGCATGCAGACAGCTAAAATCGTGCGATGATTACAAAACTAGGCTAGGCCGGGCCTAATAGTAGAGGAGGCCTAGGCGGCCTCCTGCCAGGCTGTAGGCCTAAATCTTACTTTGTTCCTTGAGTCTTTAAAATAGGTCTAGAATATTCCTATTAAATGTTCAGTTTGTTGAGTTTATGAGGGTCTATTGATTCAATGAATTCCTTAATTGTTCTTACTTAATATTGAATTGAAGTAACTTTCTTTGGGATCTAATTAAGCTTGATGTACAAATGTAATTTTGAATTACAATTGAATTTTCAATTTTTCTGCACACAAACCTAAAAAAAATCAAGCCAAGCGTCCACTAATTGAAAAATTCTTAGATGGTGGGAAATTAACAAATAACATTGGAAGTTGCAGTGCTGACGTCATGATTGACTTATAATTGTTATTACTGTATACGATTCAGTAACCTTAGCTTTTGTTTCTATTGTGGCTTAATTTGTAGTACAGTTACTGTAATCTAGTAGTACACAGTAGTTTGTGGTCATGTATTACAAAAAACTGTATCTCATGATTACTCAAGATTGAATCCTATGATTAGTTATTAACACACAAATCAAACAGCTGATCATACCTTATTAAAAAATCTTTGAAAATGTCTGATGGCTCTTGGCAGATAACTGACACAGTAAATACTAAGCTCCGCCTCCTCATCATCTGTGTTCTGATATCAACGAAATAGAAAGAAAAGAGTCATCTATTAGGTGTTCCAGATTCTCTTTACAATATATTAATATACTGATTGACAAAGGGGGCTTCTTCTTGCTTAAAATGTAAATTCTATTATTTTATTTTTTGTATGACAGAAATGTTTATTTAGCTTTTGATGTAAAATGTTGGTACCACACCTACAATCGACTTAAAATAAAATACATTATAAATAAAAATTAAATACAGTTAAACTACTTAAGTTGACCTTGCCTACCTCGAATAATTTCGAAGTCGAAATTATTTTACATGCCAAAATGTTGTTTTTAATTAATTAACAATCTGTAAGTCGAATTTTATCTAAGTCAATTTTTCGCTTTGGATTTGACTTAGGCAAGTTCAACTCTAAATACATTTCAAAAATAATATTTAAAAAAAAACCAAGCATAAAAAATAAATTGCGACAAAGGAAGCTTCTTGTTAAAAAAGTAAGTGTTTATTCTATTTTTGTATTATTTTGTATTGTTTTATTTTTTTTACGAGGACAAAAATTTTTATTTAGCATTTGATTTAAAATGTTGGTAGGCCTACTGACATGAGAACGTCATTTAAAATTCATGTTTTACTTTATTTTTACATTATGTTGTACGTACCTATTTTTTTTGTCGAAGTCTATTATTAATAAAAATTTACACAAATCAACTTAATGTGTATCGTAATTTATAATAAGTGTCAGTGTTATTTTTCGTTCGATCGCCATAATCTGCTGCGCTTCAACGTGGTTGCACGCTTGATTGGTTTTCGATGCCGCTGGCATAACCTTAGCTTGTTGGGTTGCTAAATGCAAAAAATAAGTGCTAACTTATGCAGCGCCCCCTAAACTGCGTCAGCCAATAGAAAACAGTCAGAGGTGACAGTCAAAGTGTCATGCGCAATTGTTTTTATGAAGATAGCGTGGGACCGCTTGGTTTGCCCTAGCGTGAGAACGAATGCAAAATGTAAGAAAAGGATACGTTCCTTAATAAAGAAAACACACTCATGAACTTTTTATTAAACAATCAGTTTATTAAACAAATGAAATCTAGGCTTATTGCAATTAATTAATTAATGC